GATTTTCCAAAGCCCATCAGTTGCAGGTGAACCTATTAGTTCAGCTTTAAAAATGCATTGTATTTGCTCTTCTCTGATTACTGGTTAGCCTAGAGGTGAGGTGGGTGACTTTTCAGTCTATACACGTTTACAGTAATGTATGGATTGCAGCGTGATGTCTGTGTTCCCGAGGATTGTCATTGAATGGGACTCCTGTTTGTTGCCCATCGCAGGGCTTTTTGCCCCCAAGGCTTGTTCCCATTCCTGGCCCGAGCTGACCCGAATCTGACCTAAATGACGGACCATGACATTTCTGTGAACTTTGCATGAAACTTCGTCAAGTTCACCGTCCATCAAATAAACAGATGCGCGATGTGGTGTTGGACGCGTCCATCCAGCCCAGAAATTCCTTATTATCTTATATCCACAAAGATATGGAAATCAAGCCATAGCTTTCGCATTTAGGCAATGCCATAGGGGCACGAGCATAGTGTGAAGTTGTTTTTTTTACAATCTACATGGCAAACTGATCAACTTCTGCGGCAGGAAGAAAAACTGAATATAGGCAGCTTTTACGCACGATATATCAACCGTCGCTTTTGCATCAAAAAGTGTACAGTTTAGACAGACAATTGCGAAAATGATGTTGTTTCGTAGAATCTGCATTTCTACCACAGTCCTTGTGTTAAGAAATTTACAGGGAAGGAAACGATTAAGAATCCACAAATAAAACACTCGTGAAATAGTGCATACACACACACACACACACATGTATATATATATAATTGCACCGTTTTGTCTCTGCGGATAACGAGCATAACAGACCTTAACACATGTACAAGTATATATGTTGCTTGCTGAAATTTTTTTAAAAAGCTACTCATGCACGTTTTATCAGAACTGTGATATTTTACATTTCTTCAGAGGCAGTCAAGCGTTGCAGATGCTCACCAAGTAATCATTAGTTAACGCCAGTCGTGGGTGACATATCTACCACCTACAGATCTATCCTCTTACTGACCATGAGGATTGACCATAATGGCAAGGTCACAAGGACACGTGCTAGTAGTTCATTGAAGGGTCAGTTAGTAATATGGACAACTTGCACTAATCAGGCAAACAAGGTTTACAATACCCCATTAGTTCCGATCTAAGGGCTAAAATCAGAAGGCACCTGACACAACACCTCTCCATTTACAGGCATTCATTTATCTGACCCATAAACTGTTTTTAAAATACTTGCTGGAGTAATTGCAATGAATACATTGCTACGTCTTCACGACAGTCACTCCCATGAATTTGGTCAGGCTGAACACGGTGATAAGGTATTTGTTTAACCTGCTGATTGAGAAATGGATCTGTTACCGCCTAAATGATCCTTTACAGTTCCTGTCATCATATATCACAATTTAAGGCATGAATCCTGTAGCTCAGTGGTTAGAGCACTCGCTTCGCAAGCGAGAGACCTGAGTTCAATTCCAGGCAGAGGGCCAAACCTTGGGCAAGTTTCCTTACTCCACACACCTAATAATAATCCCTCCAAAACCCAAAACAATAATAAATTGGTCATTTTCAATCTACGACTGTTTGTGGGACATTGCGCAATTGGCTGCCGCGTTGGCCCACAAATATACAGTCAATTCACTTTACAATATTTTCTGTGAAGCGCTTTGGGACGTCCTCCCGACGTGAAAAGCGCTATATCAAATGCAAGGATTATTATTATTATTATTATTATATTATATTCTGACACCATGCTACGTTAATAGACGAATATGTGGTGTATTGCAGATGAATTAATTGTATTTCAAAGATGATTCACAATTCAGGAACTGAACAGGAAAGAGACATTTACCTCCACATCAATAAGCCATCATTGAACGTTTAAACAAAATTGGATTCGTGGTCATGAAAGGTGTAACAAAGATACGTGCCTGTTTTAAAAACAATCTTAATTTATTTTACCCTTGACTCCAAAGAATAGGTGCAGGCCATAGGGTCAATCTTGTTTTCCTTCTGTTATCTGATATTCTGACACAAGTGTGTGTTAGCCACAGTTCAAACTAGATTACAGTTGTTTGGTGATCCCGGATGGCGTAATTATATGTTTAAAAACCTGTTTGATGATTCCGGATGGCGTAATTATATGTTAAAAAGTAAACAGCTTACTGTCTGGTTTCCACAAGTTTTGAAGTAAACGCAAAAGACAGATTAATGTGCCCTGAACGTTTTTGAAACAGTATTGTTTGAACCATACGGAAACCAATGTAGGCCACGCATCAATTTCTTATCAGATTTTATAATTGCAATTAGTTTTCAATTGTATCTTGCAAATGTTTCCCCACGTGACGTGCATAATAATAACTTTTTGCTTTGTGATGTGCTAACCTTTCTTATGGTATCTAATTTTTGTGTATATGTATGTGGAAAAATAAATTGGCCTTCCTTTTATGAATAATGGATCTTCTCTCAAGAGTAGTGACTTTGTGGAAGCGCCTATAGTCAAAGCTGTTAAATTTACCGGTAGCGGAATAATAAACATTCAAGACATGAAAAAAAAACATTGTTTTTTGCGGTAGGAGTGTTGATGCTGCTCAGCGAATGCAAGAGTGATTTTCCACATTTTCATACTCTCATTGAGAAATTTATTCACAAATTTCATCAAAATCAGTACGATAATATCAAAGTACATCTCATATTTTTCATTGCAATCGTTTTAAATGATATGATTTTATTAGTTTAGTATTTAAACAATTGAGGTCAAAATCTACACAAACACACCATGAGCATTCAAGTAATATATTATGTTTCATATTTCTAAAATACAATAAGGGAGCAAACTATTACAATTCATATATAGAAATGTGATGTCTTATATCAACTCGTCAACATTTAACAAGAGGAAAATCAGAGAAAACAGTACCTTTCAAGACGAGGTCCCAGGAACTAAATTTTAAAAAAATTGTGACAAAACCAAAATTGGAAATAAAGCTTGTGTTTCTGTGGAATTCTACTATTGAAATTATGCAGTGTTTTATAATATAATTCCGAATTATAATGTAATTATATTATAGAATTAACAATTATTAATCTGCGAGCCGGTCATATCCTTCCTGTCATTTCATGGCTGTTTGTTTCATTGCGATGCACAAATTGGATGCCCAGGTTGTCTGGAAAATACAGTCACTCCACTTTAAAGTGAAGCATTTTGAGACTTCCTGCCCACGTGAAAGTTAGATCAGATGCAAGAATTATTATTAAATGCAGGAAATGGGAGTGTGGACTAATGCATGCATATTTCTGAATACGCTTATCTGTTATTTCTAAGTATTATTTTATTATCCATTTAAAATTAAACCACTATTCTGAGCAAACTCAGTGACTCTCACATCAGTAGGTAATGCACCACCTTATGTATGCGCGTATGTGTGTGGGAGGTGATCAGTTGTACAGAGCAGGAAGGGAATGCACACCTGCTCTAATCCTGTGTCAGCTCATATCACTCGGACTGCAGTGGCTACAATTGTTTGGGCCCTGTAGAATTGGGAGATCAGGCAGATCAGGCCATACCCGATAATCATCCCAGGAAATCTCCCTGTATAGTTAGGATGGGCTCCATCGTGGGATTGCTCTCATGGCGACTACAGCAATATAAACGACTCAAGCACCTTCGGCAATATAATGGGAAAATAAATTGCAATGGAACCAGACCTCAACTTGAGTTATAGATTTCAGGAGATGAAACCTAACTACCTGTTGGTTTCAAATTTCACTGGAAATATTTAGATATATGATAGAAGTTATTTCACACATAGATAAAAACTGGACACTATTTTGGATCCATCAGGATTAACTTATTGGCTCAGAAATACGTGAGGAGTGTAAGAATCTTTTCATAAAATGGAATTTTATGCTGCTCATCAGTTTAACGAAGTGGTGATGCGTTCATGCAGTATATACAGAATTTTACAATAACAGATTGCATCGATGGTGTAATACACTTTTAACCAGACATTGAATTACATTTACTCATTTGGAATAACATTGGTTATTGGAAAGTGTTCCGCCTACGCTTCTAAACCGATTTCCAGCAACGTTTTGTTCCAGAATAGATTGCAAGCAGTACTTTTAAAATATTTGTTGGGGTTTTATTATGAACGTTCATTTATTATTCATAAAATATCACAACACAGAGACACACATCAAACATTATAACATATTCCAACATCACAAACACAATATAATATGTGAACAGGAAAGTTAGCTTATTTTAAATCGTTTCTTTTTTCACAGCAAGAGACAGGCTGGTATATCCACCATCCACAAATGTCCAATGTGAGAATTATGTTGAGCCTGTTGTTGCTGTGAACAGCAATTGGCTAACAAGCTTCAAACAAGAATACGTGCAATGAGGTAACACCAAACAAGTGCCAAATCGAGAGGGTAAAAGCCAAACTGGGCAATTCTACATCTTGTTCTTGTATTGACTTTTTCGCATGATGATGGTATTTCCCAAGTTTCAGCATGGTCTTGTTAATTAACACTTCAGACCATAGCTACTGGTTTGAACGCTTTTTTGTAGGTATATATGGATTGATATATTGTAACATATTGTAGCAGCCCGCAAACATGATTACTTTAGGGATATAAATTATCACATATACACACTGAAATCTAAATTCTATGCAACAGTTTATGAAATGCTGGGCATTAAGATAATATAAAAGAAGTTTCATGTTCCTAAAACCATCTCCAGCATACCGACTTTTCCTCTATTTCACATCCCTCACACAATCGATCTTCTAGGCACTGGTCCTAATAGTTGCTTCACAGAAGTCTTCACCCACAGAAGTATCTGCTTTTACTCAATCTTGAGTGACACCCATTATATCAAAGGGCATTGCAACTTAATTTTAATAACAGCATTTAAACAGAATCTATGGTTTTAATAAATTATAGACTATCCTGATGTTTAAGTGCATGGATTAAATGTGAAGATTTTCAAATGTCTTTCAATAATATTTCATTCTAGCATTAAAAATTGAATACTAAAAATGGCTACATGATTCTGTAATCAGTTGAGAGTGGCAGCAGCTTTTTGGGGCAATCTTGATGCCACTCAAGAAATGGTGACCAACATCCTCCTTAAGTGAAGAGTGGCAAAAATGTCCCATGATGAAGATGATTTATTTGAAATCACCATAAGATTCATGACGAGTCACAGAATGGAATGCATTTTGCACTGCTTTACCTGTTGCCAGTGTTTGAGGATATTATTCCTCTGTGGGCAATTTGTTTCCCTTTGCATCCACACAATGAAATCTAACTTTCAGCCCATCCACAGGGTGCACAACAGGAACAGTCTGCATCTTAGGGTAGGTGGCAGTCGCCAATTCCCACCTAGCTGCACTGGTTAATTCAATTGCCAGAATTTTCAGGATCACTTGTGCCAGCTCTTTGCCTATGCAGCTCCGAACGCCTGCTCCAAAGGGTATGTAATTAAATCGCCCTTTTTTGTTCTCATCCCTCTCTGGTCCAAAACGATCAGGATCAAATGTGTCAGGATTCAGGAAGACAGCAGCAGTTTCTTGTGTGTCACGGATGCTGTATATAATATTCCAACCTTTGGGAATCTGGCACCCCTAGTAAGAAGACAGATCACATTATCTATAACATAGGAATGCACAGGATGAGATTTTTCTCATTTTCAGTCTATTTGGACAGTTAGAAATAATACCACCAAAATGATACTACATATTCCATCTCTCATACCCAAAATTGTTTTAGCTACTGCTATCTAATTTCCTCTTGAATATGATAACATCCAATAAATCTATTCTTTCGAAATTACTGTTCAGAACCCTTTAGATAGTTAACCACCATTTGGATAGGCAATAAAATGTAGGTTCTATGTGCAATATTAATATAATCATATTTAATATTGAAAATTGTACATACAATAACCAATGCAGCCAATACCTATCCCACAAATATAATTAATGCTGTTAGGAAGTTGGCCAGTGAATTTTAGATGTTTAGATAGCTCAATACATATTATTTTATAAATATATCACTTCAGACACAATATTTCAGTTCTGCTCAAGAGCATTCATTTGAATAAAACTTTGGCAGATTGAATACTTTGTATCTGGATTCAATTGTTTGCTTGAGGTGATCTGATACACGAGAATATCACTTGTTTCAAAATAGTTGAAACAAACATCCCTCAGGAATAACAGCAAAAGCTTTCAAACAAACTACAAAGTGTCATTTTGGTGACCTACGTGTTTGTACATATTAGTTTATATGAACATGGTTTGTGTTTCACTGGGATATAGCTTTTAGGATACCTTTGTTTTAGAATGTTTGCATGTGTTTTTGTATCTGCTTTTAGAATTATAGATGTGCAGGGTTTGTATGTATACCGGTTATGTGGTTTACATGTACAAGATAGGTGTTTATATTTGTGACACCATTTGTTTATATGTCCAAAAACGAATTTAGATCTGATTTGGAGTTTATGTGAACAGTGCAGAATATGCAATGTGTACTCTAAAACCCTAATGCCCTATACAAATTGTACCAGATACCCTTTGGTGCGATTCAAAACAAACATGGAAATATACAGGAATCAGAAGATATATGGCATACAAGTGCCATACGGTTCTAGATCATTTTTAAAAATCATTGCAGTGAGTGTGAACTCGCTGAGCTGCTGGTAGTAATCATTGCTCACACCTCCTTATAATAGTAATAGAAAACGTAGTGTCAATTGCAAGCAATCAAACTGTATAATTCCCAAAATATCATGCCAAGTTCAGGATGGGAGACATCAGGGTCAATAGAGCTTGAGTTGATTCAGAGCTCTCTGTCTTTCACATGTTGCCATATGATATTCTGATATTAATGTTTTAAACTATGAAGGAACCACATCATACAATGAGAAATACCTTGCAGATGTGGCTATTTCCAGCATTAGGGAGAATTAGAAATGTTTATCTTTGCTCATTATTTCAGATTCATCTCATCAAATGGTGTGGATTCCATCATTTAAAGCCTTTCTTTTGAACTCTCCCCTCCCTCAATCCAGTTGTACTCCCATTTTTGCTGAAAGTGTATGTGTGTGTGTGTGTGGGGGGGGGGGGGGTGGGAGTGGTGGTGGGAGGGGAGGGGGTCTCTTTGCTCACTAGGTGTATGAGACGTTTTTTGGATGAGTACGGTTTTATACCGATGAAAACAAAAAAATGTAGCTTGATGGCAATTAACCCTGCATGAAAACTGAACCATACCTCGCACTCCTGAGACACACTCAACATAGCTACATTTTGGAGATAATCGACCTGACAATTTTTTTTAAAAAAAAGATAGGAGAATTATCTTGAGGTATGAGTTAACTACCTAAATTGTGTTAAGGTGCTTCTCCGCTCACAGTTGAAATCAAACTGACTTTACTTTACAAATCTTTCCGGCTTATCGAGGCTACTGGTGAGTGTTTTCTTACTAAACGCCACTTACATCTAATTCGAAGGTTTGCAGTGCTGTCCTGTAGCCCCCAGAAACCGGGGGAAGCAGCCTCAACACCTCCTTGATCACACAGTCGAGATAGCGCAGACGACTCAAGGTTTCCAGCCTCAGATAGCGTTGGCACTCACAGTCCTGGGACACCTGACATCTCTCACTCTCTGTCCCCTTCCCCTGTGAGAGAGGGTCTTGCTGACCATCACTATCCAGTGTGTGGTGGGATTGCAAGTTCCCTTTATCCTCAATTCCTTCCTCTTCGCTGATGTATATTTGTTGGCACTCCTTATCCTGCGCCATTCTATTTGAGGAGGCAGTGTGTTGATGGCAAACCCTGTCCCGGTTTTGGTTCTCCTGGTTGAAGGAAGATTGGTGGCAGTTTTCATCCTGAGTCCGTTTCCCCAGGACCATGGTTCTTTGGTGAGTTGTGATATTGCCTGGAGTACTGGAGGACTGTTGACTGTCCTTGTGGAGAGTAATTTTATCCTGGGTGGTGAGGAATTGATGCCATTCGCAATCCCGGATCAAACCATGCTGTTCCAATTCCTGTCTCATTTTCTCTAGGACCTGACCATTCTGGAGCAGCTGGAGCATCAGTGATGTGCTGGCACTGGCCGTGGTGGCGAAAGCAGCAAAGATCAACTCGACAGCAGATTCCTAAACACAAGGAAATGCTCAGAAAAAACATAGGCACCTCAGTTGCCTCATTTCAGCTGATCTGGATATACGATTCAATCAGGGTTCCCAGTCCCAACTGCTATCCAACGCCACCTCCCAGCCTCCGCTGAAAAATGCCTTAGGTGGATGTTGGATAAGTACAGATAAAAGCATCCACTGTGAAGTTACCCAACAGTCTTACACCTTTCAGTGTCTGGGCTCAAACATGAAGAATTATTACTTGGCTAATGAGCTTCTAGTGCGAGTGGAATCATGCTGCAGCTCGAGTCAAAACTAGTGAAAAAAGATGAATTCTGCCAATATTTTATTATTTTCCTTTAACATAAAAGCTAACTACAAATAGATAAAATAGTGTTTGCATATCTATGTTGCCTCAGGTCAATTGGCTGAGCAATAGAGAATTTCTGAACTACAATTATTCCGTCAGTCTTGTGAAATGAGCGCGAGAATCTGAGCATTTTGAAAATACCTAACCAGTGGCACCCAAACATTGTGGTAGAAGTCATCCCTTCTTGTCAATGAGTAGACAATCAGCTCAAATTTCACAATGTCCTCTACAAGCAGTACCAGTGCTCAACAGAGGAGGGACTCAAGGTCTCCAAGAGAGCAGTATGCAACACCCAGCATCAGTATTATCAGTTGATTGGGTTGTTCGAGTTGGGAAGTGGAACCCTAATGTGCCTGTTAGCATATAGCACATTGCCTTGGACGAGACACTCTCCAGTAAGTCCACATTGCTCATAGAAAATGTCGTATAATTGCAACACCTTTTGGTGGCATTAACGAAAGATTCAAACCTGCATGCTGACAGAATCGTGCCTCGCATATTCCCTTCCATCAAAGATGTCCCTACCCAAACTCCACGCCGATTGACTATTTCCATCCTATTACTGCTCACTATCTATACATCTTAAAATCATTTCATTAAATTTCAGCATGATTTTGGAATGGAATGTTCTGAAGTATTCATTATTTAATAATAATAATCATTGATTGTTTCAGTTCTACCGGCATGTCTGCGGGTATGAATATGATATTGACAGGAATATTAATATTCGTGCAAATGGAGCAGAAAAGAGTGAAGTTGAGAATTTTCCCTGTGAAACTTTCAATATGTTAAATGCTTCGATCAACCCAATATCAACACATTTAACACCCATCGTCTCTTCACGTACAAAAAAAAAGTTAGACAAAGTAACCAACTTGTGTCTTCTGGCCTGATCTTATAAATGGGTAGTGAAACAATAAAAGTCAAGGGTTAATTTTTGAAAAAGACCAAATTGCATTTATGATTCATGTGCCTTACCCGTGTCTTACATGTGCTCTATCATATGCCCTACAACAATCAGGACGCAGTACTTCTCTCCCATGCGCAGCCAGTGATTGAGGCACGAAGCTGCCACAAACCAGAGCTGAGCTTCACAAGAGTGAAACTTAACTCGGAGCATCCACAAGTCAAATACATTATTTCTAACCCGAAAGCGACAATTATTGCAACAGAAGCTTTTGCAAATATCTGTTTTAACCCCCACCCCATTAAAACTACTGTTTCTTAAGATTTAGATTCAAGCGGTGAACCTTAATAGAGTCGCTTACTTCCTGCAGTGCTACCTTACAAGTAAATGTATTTGTTTGTGAGTTAGGCTCGGGATGTTTTTTTTACAGAAACAAAGAGGAAGGTAATGGGAATGGCAAACGAAACATTGTGCAAACAGAAAGGAAATCACTGGGAGGAGAATACGGGATGAAAGAGATGAGGATCTTCTCGGAGTTGGGATCCTATTACCTTTAGTTCCTGAAGGCTGAGCTCTTTTCCATGCTCTCTGGCGCTGTTCAGCATAAAATCCAATGCATCTGGGTAATCGCCTGAACTATTTTTCTGTAGCTTCTCTATAATTGCTTTCTCCAGATATTCGTGCAGTGTATCGCGTGCTTTGATACCCTATTTAAATGGCAATAACAAGAATAAATGGTTTCACGCCCAGTACAGTTCGTATTAAAGATTTCATTACACATAACGTCTAATACAGGCAATTAAATTCGACATCTCTTTCGGTTAAGCCATTTTCCGGAAGGTTAGATTTTCTAGTATAAATCTACTGTTAAGGCTCATTGAGGCTTTGGTACTTAGCGAACACCATTCGAGCGCTAAACATTCAGTTTGAAATGTCACAGATGGAATACGGGAATTGCTGGACTTAAATATATACAGACAAACCCTGCGAAAAGCTTAACTTCAGAATTCTAACACATGGACACACATAAGAAAGTGCAATTATGACACAGCCCTTTGCAACATTTACAATACTGGTGATGGAGGATCCACAATTTCAAGCTCCGAGGCATCAGTGCTGTTTGGTTCGCCACAGACAGATGTTCTTTAGAAAATAGATATATCGCAAACAGTGAAAGGGACTATCTCTGTGGTGCCAGGGCTCATAGGAAAAGCTCTATATCAAATGCAAGGATTATATTGCTATTAGTATTTATAGGTTTTTAAACGGCTGATCTGCTGGAGAAAGCGGGGGGGGGGGGGATATTGGTGATCCAGTCTGAAAAAAACACAGCACTAACAAACTGAATTTAAATTTAAATTTGAACAGAACTGAAATGTAAAAAAAAATAAACATTGTGTGTAGATTTCACTGGAACACAGACTGCGGGTAATAAACCTGAAATCCGTCTGAGATCAAAGCTCGATGCGAACCAGGTTGCGCGGCAGTGCTGGTGGGGAATGGATTGAGAGGCGATGGAGGCAGACAGACAGACAGACACACAGACAGACACACAGACAGACAGCATGGCTGGCTCGGTCGGTGCCTTACCTTGCGCAGACCGCTGAAGGGAATGTCCAGGGGCAGCGAAAAAATGTTGTCCATCAGCTGCTCGAAGATGTCGGCGAGGTGAGTGAGCTGCTGGTCGGTGGCCCGCAGCCCGAGGAGGATCCGAATGGCAATGCGGAAGGTCAGGGCTTTGGTGGCCGGGTAGACAGTCACTGCACCTCGCTCTCCACACCAGCCCCGGATCCGACTGCGCACCACCTGCTGGATCCGAGGAATGTAGCTGTCCAGAGCAGAGTGACTGAATACCTTGGCCAGAATCTGCAACAGCAATTGGGTGTGTGTCAGGGTGGATAAAATCAAGATTGCAAGGGTTTTTTTTCCTCTCTCTCTCTCTCTCTCTCTCTCTTTCTCTCCATCTCCGCGTTCGTACAATTGGCAAACACATCACTTGGCAAAGTACCTGCCAGGACTGCACAAGAAGATATCGCACAACGCCCGAAGGACGAAGAGATATTCGAATGCACGAACTATATATATATATAGATATATGTCACACTGTAAAGCCGACCATTTCTGAGGACCGGTTGCACTCATCCAACAGTCCCGACGTTTTATTTGACAGTAAACAGTCGCTTTCTGTCCTCAGGTCGGCTATTCCCGTCCCGTCTCGCAGTTTCTGATCAGTTACGCACACAGTTTACCCGCAACAACATTTCGGTTTACGCCGTGAGTCACATTATTAGAATTGCATTTTTTTAAAAAAAAAATTTTTTTTTCTAAAGACATAATATCCTCTCTCCCCTCCTCCCCTCCCCGAATGCTGTACACTTACTCTTCTTCTCTGGCGGTGGAGCTCTCCGATGGAGTTGGCCAGAGTGTTAAAGCCAAGGATGATCCTTGTGCTCTGCGGCCACTGAGCACTGACCAGACTGTGTTCCCCCATCAGGATTTTCCGGATATTCTCAGCACCTGTCACTCGGATCACCGGTTTACCTAAAAGATGCGTCTTAAAGACATTTCCATACTTTTCTCTCCTGGAAGCGTGGAAATTAGAGCCCTGAAAAAAAAAACCCACCCACACACAGAAAGACAGTCATTTACTCCTGTGCAGCCTCTCTGTCTTCTCCAGGCGTTGGTGAAGTGGATTCCGAACTAACTGCAACCGCCTCTGCAGCGAACTCGGTCAGAAATACATGCGATCAAAAACAAAGTTGTGTTCGGTTTCTCGGCCGCTTGTTCAGAGACATTAAGAACAAACCCGAAGGCCTTTCAAACCCCGAAGCATTTACAAAAAGCCTCGAGAAGCTGCCGCTGAAGGCAAAGCAGACCTCGTAACCTTGGCATCTGATCACAGTTCGGCACCGGCCTTCATTAACCCACGTTAAGTGCGTTTGCAACGCGACAAGAATAGTTGCATTGGAGCGCCTCCGAGTTGGGATTGGGACGCGTCCCTCTACAACATCAAACTCAGTGTTTGCTTTAAGTCTATCGCCTTTCCCCAAAGTGACTGAAAACGCCGCGATGGAGTGGAATGATATTGTTTTGAAATCATCAGAAAGTTCAGCCTTCCATTCAGGTTAAGTACATTTATCATTACTATTTTAAGGCCTTTATAAAGTGTATGTCTACTCGGTGTCTTCCCCGTATTGTTGAAAACTTCCAACGCAGTGATTTTTATCTTTATGCATAGGTTTGGAATGTAATAATCTGATAATATTAACATTATTTTCCTTCGGGCAGATTCAGTATTAGCCATCTTTACAGCTTTAACGGACTGTAACTGGGCTCCTTCCAGTTAATGAGGAATCGTTTAAGGAAATCGCAGCAATGAAATAAATTTAAACACAAATAATGATTTAAAAGAACTGACTGCCAAGAAAAGAGTGTATAGTAGTCATGAAAAAACTCCACCCGTGGCCTCGGATGAAGCTGACTTTCTTGGTGGCGACCACTGACTTGCATTGTCTACGGAAAATATATATCTAAAGAGCTAATCATTCTTTTAGTCGAGGGGCCACACGCTGGATCGGAATTGTAGATTACTTTAACCGACTTTGACAGCATTTTCATAACAGAAAACTAATGCCACGAGGGAAGCAGAGCTGCCTTACACGGTCAGTCAGAACGCGAGAGGGAATCGATTGCCAATAATAACACTTTGCAATACATATCGGTATTCGCAACAGTGCATTTTTTTTCCAAAGAAAAACCCAACGCGCACACATCTCGCTTTCTCACCTGTACCAGCCAGTGAAGCGTCTCCCCGAGCAGTGGCCAACCCATTGAGCCTTTGGGCAGCGGTAGTTTGTTGCCCCGGTCTCTGGTCACATTCCAGCCCAGAGTCCATAGCTGTCGCGATACAGCGAGCAGCAGCAGCACAGACAGCAGAGAGGTGAGAGCGGTGGCCAACACCGACAGATAGTCAACCCCCAGCAGGAACATTGCTCGGAGTCACTCGGACTGTCACAGATCTGACCCCCTAAATAGATTAGTTGTCCACAGCAGAGAACTCCGCAGCTCCTACCTCTTTGACGGTGCACTTTACAATTCGGATTTTTTTTTTTCCCTTTCCCCCCCCCCACATAGAAGTGAAATACTTTCTTTTCGATATCAGATCGTGAGCGTTGATCAGCTGTTCAGGAACCGTTCATGTTTTCTGTTGGGCAAACAGGCCCGTGAAACTCCCGACTTCTTTATAATGTCCTACAGACAAAAAGGTAAATGAATTTAATTTTTAAAAAGTAATAGCTCAAAAAAGGACCGAGCCCCGTAACTTTGTAAACACAAATGTCAGCTTGAGTTAATCATTGTTTATTTCTAACGATAGTCTGAAAATTAGGGGTAAACTCCAAATGGTGTTTGATTTCATGTAAAGATAATTAATATTTGGGCGCAATAAATTTGGGAACAATTATGTTGCAATAGAAATACTTGTCTACATATTACGTTGCGTAGAAACTAAGCAAAAAGTAACTATTAATGGCATTGTGTCTGGGTGTTTATATAAAACTTTCGAATTAAATTTAATCTGGTCAACTTTCAATTTACAGATCAATACTCGAGTCTGGATTATAACTCTCAATTTTCAAGCTCTGTATCATCTCTTGCTATCATATCACATGCCTAGAAACAATTCCTGAATATTTTAACTGCGAGGAATTTTAAAGTAGAATTAAAGTATGACAAATTATATTTTGCTAACGTTGCAATTTTTTTCTGAATGCATGAAGTGCGTGGTAAAGTAACGTTTATCCTTATGCATAAATGAAATGTTCATTTAGTAGCACCAGACTACAGGAGTTACATTCTTATATGATCAGATTTATCTTTGGAAATCATCTATATGGTTGAGTAATTTAGGGAGAAAGTAAAAAAAAAGCTTGTTTTATTCATTATCCTTGATGATCCATCAGAAGTAATGTGCCACCTTCACACAATAATATGTACATTTGACGCATGGAATAAATCTCGGCTCCAAAACAAAGTTGATTTAAAACAGAACAACCCACAACCCTGTATTTTACCGCATGATTAAACTCATGATCACGAATGTTAACACATAACTTTCCTTGTAAAAACACGTATGCGGGTTCCAAACAGATTAGATTTGATTGAAACGCTTTATCAAAAATGTAAGCCAAATGAGAATAAACTGCTACGTTGATCAATTTGAATGCACTTTGAGTCTTCCTACCACCCCCCCGGAAAATCTTACTAAGTGTGCGATTGGTTTTGTTCACAGTACTCCCGATAGCGTTACCGTGATTTGCTGAGAAGAACTTTATATCTCACCAACATTGCTTAGAATCCCAGACAGCACATTGCCAGAATGCTACCTTTCCGGTGACAAAGCGTGAGGGTTTACATTGCTTACTTCACACTTGTCAGGGAAACACTCAAAGCAAATATATTTTCAAACAAGAGAAACCATCAGTACTTACTGTTTAGACAGACGTGCAAACAAACTCACACCATTCGGGATGCAAAACCTCCCTTTATCTGATCGTGAGCGGGTTTCATTCAAAATTCCACCATAAAACGTGCTCCTGGTTTGCACTGATCTTTCTGGACGGCCTTTTTATAGAGGTTCGCTGAATAAACCATCCACCTCCCCAAATGACGTCGTTTGCAACATTTAAATACGTTGTAAAGTGCAATGATCAGATTGTGATAATCCCTGTCAGGTTAGTGGCACTCCGGGGAAGTGATCACATTGATTGAGATCCGAGCGAGCGAGCGAGCGAGCGAGAGGGGGGGAGAGCGCAGCAGCACAGGCAGTGTGACAGATTGCTGCTCGGACTCGCTCTGTCAGCTCATGAAAGAACAGGTAACCAATAGCAGGAACTGCACAAACTCCCCATATCTGCAGTGAGCTCCTGCCATACATCCTCCCAGAGAACACTCAGCACACTCCGGGCCACCGATCCACGAGCGAGCAACACAAGTCACAAAACTCGTATTTCAGCAGTGAGATGGAATTAACACTTAAATGTCATTTTTATTGGTCATTGGCAGCCTGGAGAGTAAAGAAACTAGTGCCTACAGGCGGATCTTTATGCATGATTAATTTTTGTCTTTTAAGCGATTTACACTCTGTCATTTTGCATTGTTTCTAAGTCAAAAATGTTCAGTGTTTACTCCAGTTACATCCTTTCGCGTTTCCCTATGTGGTTGGGGTGTTGAATAAGCTACTTTGTGTTTTCACTTAATACGGTTTAGCTGAAGAAAAGTACCGGAGGCTAAATGCAAGTGGGTGCTTTTCAGAAGCTCAACCAAGTTATGGTCAAATGTAACGCCGTATTGGATGGGCAATTATTGCTATAATCCAGCACTATAGTTCTGTAAAGATCAAACCTTTATAATATGCATTCATCACAATAGAAGTTTGTATTGAAGCATTACAAAACTACAGTCTACATGTTTTAAGAGACTAATGCAGAGACTTTCTATGTTTTGATTTTTTTATCATAAAAGCATACTGCAAAATGATGGCACTCGATTTAAAGTTGTACATTGGGGCATTTGACCTATTTGACCTCAGTCATAGAACTTTGTACTCCCGAAATATTATTGTTGAGCCTTAAGATGCGGCGAAAGTTTGCGGTTCTAAGTTCTTTGTAAATGAAAATTACAGGTCAAACCAGCAACTATTGTCAGAAAGTATTAAAGGGGCTTTTATTCAGTAGCTTCGCATATGGGCAGATCTAAACAACTGTTTGGGATTCCACACTTGAAAATATTCAAATAAGAATGAATACTGAAATGGAAATGATCAAATGAAATTAGGACCATACATATATTGAAAACCACTTGCTCCTGTAATTGCTAAAATATTGGACAACAGCTTTCAGATGCGAGTTGCTGAGTCAATACTCGCATTGAACATATTTCGGTAACCCTCTGCATTGCGTTTTAAGATGCAAGTCCCAACATTTTCTTAGGTGCTGCATGACAGACACTTGTCATTTAGAGATGCTCACTCGTTTAGTGATTGAGGTTGTAGCACTTTGTGGGCGGGAGGATAACTCTCAACTGTATTGGAATAGACTCGCCCACTTGGATTTAGTCCCGGTTCGAGTCAATACTTTTCTTTATGCATTATTTACTATCACTTTCGAGGCAGTGTTTTGCATCAGTCTAATCTGTTGCACATTTCTTCGATGGTAATACCTTTTTTGTCCCTGTTATCACAGATTACTCCGAACCCAGGCCTTTCTCCCTTGCACCGTTTTCTTTCTACTGATCATTTTTTTCGAGGCAGCCATTGACATGGGTTTAAGAAGTTCTTGAATTTTAAATATAGGATTTAATTATCTGCATGGGCGTGTGTCTTTTTCGACGGTTCCCTTTAAACCAGACCACCAACTGGGCAAGTATGCTTGATCTAAATCCTTGCAAGTACAACACCATTTGAACCCAGAGGATCATTAAATCGTGAAAAACCTTATTTATAATTTTGATGGTAAGTTGCAAAGTTCACGATTTGCAGAACCGACCCATGTCTCCACCTACACAATCTGTTTTAATGCACAATCCGTTAGTCGCCGGCTTTTCTTTGACACGCTCAGTACATAATGGTCCAGTTACTTCTCTAAATTAATTATGTTCCTTTTCGATTCCCCTGGACACCCTTCATGACACTCCGATTTTCTTACTGGACTTAAAGCATAGCTCCAGGTGCATCCCATCGTTTTCCCAGGTTCATCCCATCCCCGAGCTTCCAAAGGCACCTGTCCGGTGTTTGTTAAGATGTTTCTTTAGGAAATGTCCCTTTAACAAAAAGCGTAGAGACTCACAGGGGCCGAATCTCAAGTGGCCAGGCTCCACCAGGCTCTCCTGATAAATCACTCCGTTTTTTTTTGGTCAGCTTTTGGAAACGAAAGCAATTAAAAAGCAATTTAATTAGTTTACATCCAGCTTCTTTGAATGCAGCTTGGGATTGTGGTTCTCTTCGACATGGGTGTCAATCTACTTTGGATTGGACTTCCAGTAGATCAGGCAGTGAAGCATGCTATGAACTGGTGGGGTGCAAACTCCATGCTATTCGTGTTATAGAGATAGGTATCTATCTAAATAGTCAATACAATTAGATGTGTGCATATAAACATTCTACATATATGTATAAGCCAAGATCTGAACGTGTTACCCTGTAATTATCATTAAAGAAACGTACCCTTGTAGCTTTTTACATCCATTACATATTCGAGCTGAATTCTGAATTTGGAGCACACATGATAGTTAAATAAAGACCCACCAAGTACTTTTGTTACACCTCCACTATGTTTCCCTGTATGTTTCAGTTCCCGAGAAACCGACATGAATTTCAAAGACACGATGACTAACTATTAAGTTACATGTACATGCAGAATACACTTTTTGGAAAAAAAAAGTTTAAGCAGCTATGGATTCAGGTAATCTTATTCAATTGCGGATTCGTCCAAGAGTTTTGGTTGCTTTGATGGAAGTATGTGTACAGAAGGGCACAGATATTGCTGTCTGCCCGGCGGAGAGGTTTAAACAGACAAATACATTAAAAACTATTGTACATCCATCCCCAAACACGGGCTTCGATAGAAGCCAATGTGAATTCATTTCAACTTGTCCAACGCAAAAGTAAACGTCCTTATCCATTCATATGAAAGTGCCCATTGGAAATCTCTAAAAAATGGTTAAGATACAACATTTACATTAGCAGCTTCACTGGCTGGGGGAAGTTCCCCCCCCCACCCCACCCCCAACAAAAAAAGTGGCGTTTTTGAAGGGTGTATTCTTTCAAGAAAAAAAGAAGTACAAAAAACGTGAGAGACCCCAAATGGATCGGTGAGCTTCTCCATAAGAGCCCGATTTTGTTTGCAGCTCTCGGTTACCCCACTGGGGACTGAGAGAACTGTTCCACCCTACAGCAGGAGCAGCGGCACAGTGATGGGGTGAATTAAATGCTTTAGTGGAACTCTGGAATCCCTTTCCATCTTCCTGCTTCCGGAGCACAGCTTCTTCCACGATTCCAGCAAACTTAAAGCCAATTAGCACATTAGGAAGCGGCTGTCCCCGGTGGTTGAGACGCGTTTCATTCTCCACCTCATACAAACACGAATCGCATCTTTCACTAGAAAACAAAAACGATTGCAACTTCACCCTGGATTTAATTTCTCTCAACCATTAACACCCACACGAGCAGATACGACGATAAGAAAACACAAAACGCAGGGAAGTTGAAGATGGAAACCCGACTGACTTATTTCTCTTTACGAGCAGTTTTTTTTAAAAAAAAACAATCGTGGAGTGATTGCCAAAAATAAAAAAACACGCATTTGGTAACACCAGTCTCCACCTCCAGTCCAGGTGAGCATCTGGAATTTACTTGTAGAAACACTGGAGTGGGAGGGAATAAGAAAAACGATCGGCCAATGTATGACCTAAATAAGCCAGTCAATGGGAAACCTATTACAGCCATTCCCCCCACCACCAAAAAAAAAGAGATAATGAACCAAATGACCACTTTAAAAAATTCTTAACAGCTTGAATAGCTTGTCGAGAAAACACTCCCCTCTTGGTTTCCCAAAGACAAGTACAGACCAACATTTCCACGCAGAATAAAAACACCGACGATCGCCTTCTGCTCGTGTTCTTAATGGAAGTGAAAAAGCTGAAACGCAAAGCAAGTCGTTTCCTTTTTGTTTGGGATTGTAAGAATTTTTTTTTGAAAAAAGAAGAAAACGCAGGGATGGACAGCTGAGGAATTCTGAGCTGTAATGTACATCGTTTTCTTCTGCCCATGTAGGGTTATAGTTTAAACAGGGAATAATGGACATCCGAGAGTGATTACAAGAGAGCTTACACTGTATAATCAATGTGTTCCGATGGCGGACTAAACCGTGGCAGCGAAGGTACGGTAGTTTATAACATCATCTGAACCACGTGAACAGACGACGGTCTTGAAGCAATTTCACGGTATTAACCATTTGGTTTTGCTTAAAAAATAAACAATTTATGGGGTCCAGATATCAATTTGGGGGTCTGCTTTTGCGTTTGCAGAAGGTAACTGACAGCCCATCCATTGCATTGCCGAGTGACATTCAAACTGAAAGACTGAGTGGCTTTATGAATGAAGTGAGTGAGTGAGTGAATGAATGAATGAATGCAACGTTATTCAAAATAAATTGCAGCTAATTAGTACAGTTAGAGTTACCTAACCCTAAATCAAATTATAATAAAACATGCAAACCATCGCTTCTTTTGTAGTGCAATTCATCATTTAAAAAAATACACAGTATTTGTTTTACTGCCGAGAGCGGTCGCTACAGTCCTGGGAGAATAGTGATGTGGAGCGGGTCGGCGGGTTTATATTACCTGCTTCACGTAGTTTTGAATCAGCTGAAATAAAATAAACACTCGATTTGCTGTTCCGCGTGGATTTTCCGATATAGTTGACTATTTTTTAAAAAAAGGCATATTTGTAATATTGGAAAACCTAAGTGAAGGGTCAAAGCTCACAATGCAATGCAATACACCAGAAATCAAGATGCAAATTGTTAGGCAACACAAAACGTGGGATTTAAAAGCCTGTGGAACATTTGAACAGTACAGATCCAAAACAATATTTGTAGACATCCTCAAAATAGTGTCAGTCTCAAACAATTTGACATCTTGGGTTTGTGGCCAGTGAAATGAAGCAAAGCCAGAAAATAATTAAAAAGGTGCTCAAGATCACTTTTATTACATAGTAAGAATGTACAGCAAGGGCATTTTGAAATGAATTTACAGAACCTCATTTCTTTCATTTTCTTCCTTACAAACATGACAGCCAACAGAATGAAATAGATCTATTTGAAATTTCAAACAATAAGTAAAGATAAATCAGACAGCTATACACTACGTTTCCTTCTGGGAGTGCAGAGAAGGATCCAATCTGAAACAATCAGAATAAAACCACCATCATTATTCATCAATAACCGTTTCAACCAGATTGAAAACCATATCAAAAGGAAAGGAGGGAAATGACTAAAGCAGATCAAAAGTAATGCCTTATTACTTGCGATTGCCTCAGACTGGTGCTTGAAGCAAGTTTACATTTCTGCAGAGAAAAAATACAAATTCAAAAAAGCAACCCTGAGTAAAAGCTTGAAAAAAAATCTACATGCACTATATTTGTAACATGAAGAAAGACAATGTTTCAGATCGTTTCACAGTGCGATGAGACACAAAGTTATCTTAAATATAAAAGCAGATAGAAGACACGAATGACCTGAAACGTTTCTCTTTCAGGTATATGAAGTGTGGGTAAGGCAAAAATCAAAAAACAACCAACTTGTATGCAAGATTGGAGGATCATGCTTTAAAAATGTGCTATGGCTAATTTACAAAGTAATTTCACAGTCAATCCATTCATTGCACAACGTTAGAATACAGTGCTACCCTAATTTTAAAAAAGTTGCAATACATTGTGTTAATATTTTTGTGAAAGGTGTGATTGCTAAAGCGGTCAACTAATTTCCTCATTATTGTTGACACAGCCCAGCAATTCTGAACTTATATAGAACAGTTACATTTTCATTTTCAAACATATTATTGGCTTTGATGAACATCAGTGGTGTATGGTAAAGGCATTGCACATATTCACAAAATCTCAGAACATCAAATAAGTCATGGTTTGAAAATTACATAGAAAACATTTCCCTCTTATTTTCATTACCCCACTCTTCTATACATTCATAATTTGTTTGTTCTGCACTTGATTCAGTTCTTCTTCTTTGAGATTTCATTGTTATTCTGTTGTACTGTATACAATTGCTGGCTGAAGAACGACCAGGGTAGGGAAAGAAAAATCAGGAAACAAATCTATGAGTGCTGGGACATACCATTCACCAAACTGCGCAGTTGCTTCACTACAGTCTCAATCAGTTTCTGCTTATCACGGTCATTTTTTCTGAACTGAGAAAATATATTGTTCTTTTTGCTGGTATCTTTCATTCTGGGAAGAGAAAATTAAAACATATTTAATTGTATACATATTGTACATGAACATTCCCAATTTACATGAAAGCTTATTTGAACAATACTTTATACAACAATAAAGAAAATAGTACATCATCAACCACAACAGAAGGAAACATCTGACATAAGGATATTCAATAGTATGACTTGGAGTGGCAAATCACATTAAAGCATTAAAGGGATGAGCTTTGAGGAACAACCGGATAAGCTGGAGCTTTTTAGCTTTGAAAAGAGACCTTTCAGAAGGGACCTTACACAGATACAAGGTGCTTAACAGAATAGAGAATGTAAACCCACAACAATACTTTCAAACACCTAGGGACAAGAGAGCACATGTTTTGGGGTTGAGCAGAGCAAGTTTGGGGCAGATACAGGAAGTATTTATTTACACAGAGGGCAATCAGCAGCTGGTATGAATTACCATCACAGTAAGGGTGGTGGAGGACTAAAGCCTGGACTCATTTAAGAAGTAGCTAGATTCTGAAACGGAAAGATGATAGGGTGGTTTTCTGGGAGGATAAAACCAAACGAGTCAAAGGGCTTTCTTCATCCAAATCTTGTTTGTGACAACTTAGTTGTGACAGATTGGTTTCTAGAGTTTTTAGTTACACGCAAGCTGCTGTGCAAAGGTAAAGAGTAAAACTGAAGAACATTTCCACAGGTTCCAGCAGCTCTCTCCCCATATCTCAGCATTTTTAATATACAACTGAGGGAACTGACTGCCAGCAAGTCATTCCACAGTGGGGACAGGAAAGCTGAGCCCAAACCTGTCCCAACCACACTTCTTAAATCAGGAGTAGGAATAAAGCTGATTTTTTCTCCTTCCCTAATCCAGGGCCCCTTGCGACCAATGCAGCATCACTGCTACTTCTACCTTGACTAAGATAAGCTAACTCAGCAAAATCGAGCATTTGAACCTTTGACCCTTTCCTCTGTAGGACTTAATGCTATACAAGGCAGTGCCTTTCTCCAATCAGCCATTGGTGGATCAAACAGGCACATCATGAAATCAACCATCAAAATTGAAAGTGCAATTCCCAATAGAACCACAAAAATGTAATTTACAACACTGAATGAGTGCCAGTACCTCGAATATGCAAACTACTTACCCTCTGTTGACTCTGTATTGCAACAATTCAGCAAAAAGAATGATAATGATGAGAAAAAGGCAAAGGCGTTCAAAACAATTAGAAAGGACAATTACAAGTAGTATGAAAAGATGATGATCTACATGTATTAACAATGTACAGAAATGCTTTATAAGAAGATGTCCTCCCAATGTCAAAGGCACTATATAGATGCAACTTCTTGTTGTTAAATGAACATTAGAAATTCTGGTTTAAATGAGCAGTTTTTAAAAAAATTTGAGTTTCTAATTATGATATTCAAGTTCAAGAATTTGTAAGCTACAGCTTCAAAATGTGTATACATATTTGAATTATATTAGTTTTTGATCTAAAGCAGAAAATAAACAACTGAACAAGAATAGATACAAAAAAAAATAAACTGGAAAGCAAGAAGCACAATAGACTAAACCAAAAGTGTTTTTTTCTTCCAGAATGCAACTCACTTCAAAATATTGAAGCTGAAACCTTGTACAGTCACATATTAAGTTTTAAGGTTCTAAAATGTGCACATAAAAAACAATGAAGAACTGCTTACTTCTCAAGAAGTGTCAGAGCTGTGCTGGGATTCACTCTCAGATACTTTGACGTAGCTTGCCCATAATCAGCTAGATATGTAGACCAGTCCCATACCATAAACAGGTCAAGCAGCTGAAAAATAAAAATATGTAATTATATATCTTCTCTCTTTAGGAAGAATGATCTAGTGAAATTTTGTCATTTCTTTTGAATGCTATCTGGAGGAAGAAGACGGCAGAAGAATGGATTATGTTTAATGCAATATACTTAATTTTAAAAGGGCAGATTTTGAATAAGACAGTATTTAAATTTATATTTTGAAACAAAATCCGATGGAAACTGTTAAATTATGTACTTTAATACCCGACGCTACTTTGAAAGTGAAAAATAGATTTGGACTAGACAGGTGTAAACAGTCAGATTCAAATGCTGACTGCTTTCCTGTTTAGCCCAAGTATGTTGGATAGGAATCTGACAGTTCAGTGGAAAATAATGATATGGAAAGAAATTCAATTCAGATCAGTGGTTGGAAATAAAATTTTGTCTCCTTCTACAACAGAGTTATATATGAAATTCATCAAATTAAAATGGTCTTGAAATTCAGTTTCCATTTGAAAGAACTAGTTGGAACATGTGTGTACGTGTGTGTGTGAACACATGTGCACAAACATCCAATTGCCAGCGAAATAGACCACAAATAATTTCATTCAGCTACAAATTTAAAAGTCTAGAGGCCTAGCTGGCTATCCACGTTAACTTTCTTGATATTCTTACTGGGCCAGTAAATGTTCAGACGATGTAAATAGAAAAACAAAATCAATATTTTTCTGAAAATTTATTTTTATGATTCATGAATATGCACTTTGAGCGTTTAAAAGAAAACAATTGGTACTGTGCAAGTCTAATAGCAAGTTGCTCATCTTACTTACCCTGACACAGAGGACGATACTAAACGACAACATTGGTCCCTGAAAATTAGTTTAATCTCTCCGTTTTCAATAAACGTCAGCATCAATCACATCAATGATCCAGATGAGACAACCAGATAGAAAATAATCTACCTTGCTACAGACACAAAAAGAGCAGGCTGCACTATTTTGCTCAAAACAAGATTAAATTTACAGAACTCTATGTTGATTTTGACATCAACTCAATGGGAAAAAGCCATGTGCAACAAAGAGCAGAAACCCCGATTAGCCCAGTCAGCAGCACAAAGGAATCTTTAAAGCTGAAGCGCACATACAGATTCCATCAAGAGGAGAAAACAATCCTCCTGCTCTATGATAAATAAAGATACGGGGAAACCTAATAACCATGCCTCAATCTAGAGAAACTTTGCTATCCAAAAAAGATGTAGGAATGGTTCCTCACCCTTTCAAACTTTGGGAAGCTACAAGCATTAAAGTATATTCCGTCTTAAAGCCACTTACGCAGATTCTAGTCAGAGGAATTTGAGATGATAATAATAATTCTTGCATTTGGTATAGCATTTTTTATGTCAGGATGTTCCAAAGCACTCTAAAATAATTACAGTGGTGTGACTGTGTGTTTTGAGAGTGAACACAGCAGCCAATTGCACACAACACTGGCACAAATACGCCATGAAGTGAATGAACAATTTTATTTTGGGGGATTGTTTGCAAGGACAGTGGTAAAAATTCTTGTTTTGAATAGTGTCATGAGATCTTTAACAACCACCTAAACAGGCAGATGGGACCTCGGTTTAACGTCTCATCCAAAGGACGATTTGACATCAAAGTCCACAAAAGTTCAAAGAAAACTTCCTGCCCTGGAGACGGATTGCATCAGCTATAAGTCTAGTGATAAAATGTCAGTTTATAATTGTTAGTCAGGGTGCAAGAGAAAATTGTCTTAACTTCTGGATATCTTTGCCACAATTGTCATGTCATGCATTTATTTTATGGATGACTCCTGGAAACTCAATGACAGCAATGCATCCAAATCGACACATCTCATCAAAACAGCAAATTGCATTTATATAGCTCTTTTCACATTGGGATGACATCCCAAGGTACTGGATAGTGAAGAGTTTGCATCAGAGTTGGGGGTTGGAATCAAGAAGAGTGGGGCCAAGGAGAATGGTGGTGGGAGAGGGATCTTGAAGATGCTTGTCTCAGTGGAGACATAGAGATACATAAGAGTTTAAATGGGACTGAGAACTTAAATTCAGAACACTTTTGGATACACTGACAGTAGAAGAGGACACTGGTTTGGAGTTGCAAGGTGCAATTTCAGGACAGACAGCAGGAAGTATTTCTTTATACAGAGGGTAATTAACTGGAACAGGTGATCAGGAAAAGTGGGTGAGGCCAGGAGACTGGACTAAAAAAACACCTGATGATGTGAGGGCGGTAGAGTTGGCTTTTTTGGAAGAATGAGATGAAATGGACCGTAGGATCTCCTTCATCCAAACCATTCTTCTTGTGAAAGGAGACAAATTCTGGGAGACAGGGGACATTTTGACAAATCAAAAGATGCAATTCTAAACATTATATGACCTGTGAGGATGCATTTGGAGTAATGAGTGAAGTTCGGGCCTAATTCTGAAAATGCTGATGCATTGGACAGGCTTTAGAAAGAGGAAAATTTGGGTAATTCTGGGGCCTTGTGATCTAAATTATGAGTTACAAGTTTAATTGAGAAAATCTAAACCTTTCTTATGGTATGATGATACTCACAAGCAGCTTTTCTTTTTATTGAACTGGGTTCAGAACAAGATGTCACAGATTCCTTTCAATAAACAACTGCATCATAAGCCAATTAAATGTAACCAAGTTACTAAATCAAGAATCCAAACTAATCTGAAATGCGATCAACCATTGGAGCAAGAACCAAAGTAAGAAGCTATTTCAATTCCTAATTTAACATCTGTGTTCTCTTTCTTACCCCATCTCCATCATCACATATTAAATGATGCTATCCTCTCCATAGTTAACATTATGTTTAATGGGCTATGGCAATCCTGTAATCACAACTAGCAGCTGTTTGATCATATCTTGTCAAAGAAATACTTTTTGCAATGTATTGTGATGCTTTCTGTTCAGTGCCATGCCAAAAATCAGATTGAAATTCCAAAACTAGCTTGCAAAACAATTTCAGTTGCAACATCAGTGGCTCATTCAAAACAATCATCTTTTAAACATTCTGTTATTAACATTTCATCATATTCCCAAAATTTACAATTTATTGAGTCACTTAAGGTAAAATAATTTATAAATATAAATACTGTTCAGTTGCTGATAACTGCAGCAACTGAACAAACTGTACTGTAGTAATTGACGTGAACTCTAATATGTGAGAAATTCCTATTCTTGAATTGATGACAATTTAAATTAAGGTGATCTGGATAAACTAATGCACATCTCTTAAAACAGTCTGGGGGGTAAATCAGCAAAATAGTATTTTAATGACTAGCGATTTTAACATAATGGATTATGGGCAATAAAAATAATTGTGTTAGAAATAGTTGTCTATCAATTTGGCAAAGGTTCCAGGAACTTTGTGTTCAGTGTGGTGAAGACACCAACATTTGTTTCATGCTTCCTCTACCAAACTTGTTTTGAGGACTAAATAACAAATAAAATTTGCGTAAAAATGACTAGATTTCATTGGGGAGGCTGGGCATTTTCTAAATTTCCATTCACCATTAAAAATTATTTTCAGATGTTATGTAAAATGTGCTGATTTTGAAAACTTGTTATTTAGTCCTCAAAACAAGTTGACAAAAACAAAAAGTCAAACAACTTCACGTTTTTCAAAATAATGCACAATTCATTTTAGACAGACAGACAGACAGATCGTTTAAAGTTCAAGTTACAAGGTGGAAATTGTAAACAATTCAGGTAAAAATCCTCAACACAAAAGTAGGAAACACAACATTCAAAATGCTGGCAATGATACTTTCAATACTTGTTTTCTTCATTAGACCACTGGGTGGAGCACTTTATAGATTACTGTATGGAGGAGCAAAACCATTCGCTCATTTGGCTTTCAACAAGGAACATTACCCTGAGCACTGATGCCATAATTTGCAGAGAACTCTATTGGTTATAGTCCTCCTGCACAACTACAAGAATCTTATAGAGCCAAGTATTCTTGAGAATTGGAATGGCCTAACAAATGTTAATGTTGAACACTTGAATCGGAATGAAAAATGTAGCCACAACACTTTACTTTCTTTCCCCCTCCAATCCAAGGGTTACATTTTTCAAACTTAAACGTGTCTTGGCTGCTTATGGAATACTGTGGTGCATATTGTTGGGGAATTAGCTAAATGGTACATTAGTCCTATTTCACTAGAACCAGTAAGTAGTTAAGAAACACAGATAGAGAGAGGCACTTGTTCAAAGAGCAAACCCCAATAGTCAGCACTCCCACTTGGGTGGTATTCTGTGTATTGCCACAAACAAACAAAACCTATATTAATGAAAACTACCAGTTAAGATGGACAGAACAAAAATTACAATGCGAGAATAAACTGACAGACTGGCCTCATGTGATCGACCTCAAATGTCTAATTAATCTGATTATTGCCAAATATATGGAGGAATCCCATAAGACTCTGAAGAGAAAACCAAAAACGGAAGAAAAATTATTGTCTGTAGCTCTTATTCCTGATGATTTGTTTAGGATGTAACCAGTCTTCAGGATGGTTTTCTGACTTGTTAAGAATAACTGCAAACTGGGGAAGTAATAGTTCATCATCCCTCAGAAAGAAATGTAATGGGGGCTTTATATGGTGAAGACTTTCAAAGCCAGAAAACTGTTAGTCAAAATCTTTCATGAAAAATGCCTGCAAAGAATTATGTTTGCCTGAATGATCATGGTCAAAGACCCACTCTTACAGTCTTATTAACAGAACAAACTCAGTTTACTGCATCTACTAAAGAATGTCTTTCTTCCCATGCAAAATGGGTTAAATGCGTCATTTTGGAAACATCATGAACTTTTCAGACAGGTCACAATTTATCGTTTATCTCCTAGTTTAGCGTTCACACTGCAGTCTCCAAAAATTTAATAAGATCTATAATTACCCTCACTTTTCAAGCATCCCACAAGAAATCCATTTTCATTCAATTCATTTGCACTGCAATACTCAGTGAATCATTTAT